CCCCCCCCCCCCCCCCCGCCCTTCAACAAAAAACAAGAACGAGCTAGAAGTTGTCAGAACCCTTCGAAGGAGCAAAAGGAGCCCTGAGCCCAAGAGGAGATGCTCTGGTCTATACTCTAAGAACCCGTTTTCAGCCCTGAGCTTATCTGAACCCTTTCCTTGTAAGCCTTAAATCTTTCTATAAAATCACTAAAGCGCCAAAGCTCAGAAAAGGCTGGAACGGCGACGACACTTTCACGTCCTACGAGCAGCCTTCCGAACACACCGTTTTCAACGGAGAGCCCCATGGCTAAAAGGGCTTCTTTAAGGCTTCCTGACAGCAGAGGCCATAGAGGCCTAGGGCCCTTCGGGTTTAGGAGTCTAGGGTTCAGGGGTTCGTGGGTTAAGGGTTTGGGGTTTAGTGAATCCTATCCTTCAAGTAAGGATGGGTTTAGGGCGCTTAGGGATTAGCGGTGTAGGGGTTCAGGGAGTTAGAGTCTACAGACTTCGTGTGAAGGGATTTTTTGGGGGAAGTGGGCTCCGGGTCTACATCAGCCCTATCCTCAACAGTCGGTTCCTGGGGCTTGGCTGCAGGGGCCCTGGCCTCAGAGTCTCACTGAAGCCTCAGCCCTACAGGTTGTGAAAACCAGACTCCATGATTCTTGGTATTTCGATGTTCGGTATTTAGGGTTTGGGTTCAGTAGACTTACTGGTTTTCGGGGAGCTTCTAGAGCAGGGTGTACCCTGAAAATCCTGCACCCAGCATCCTCCGACTTCAAACCTCTCACAAGGCTCTTCAAAGAAAAGGAGCGCATCTTCCTTCGGAGGACTCTGAGGCACGTGACTCCATGTCTTTAGGGTTTAGGGGTTTAGGGTTTAGGGTAGCATGTCAGGTTCAGGTCGGGCAGCTAGGGTTTCGTAGGCCCCAAACCCGATAGCGATAACGTTGGGATGGCTTGTCCTACAACTCCAAGATGCCCCGCATACACCCTTATCTTTCCAAACACCTTAGAAACTCTAAAAACTCTAAACCCCCAAGGCCCGAAATCCTGTGGTTGTGCCTTTCTGGGTCGAGTGCGACAGTCGTCCTCTGGCCGATCGGTCTTACTGTAGTCCATGGAGCAAGGGTTGGGGTAAACAGGGCCTTTACAAAAATAAAAAAAGCGAAATCCTGAGGTTTGGGCGGACTCGGGCTCAGAAGGCCTTCAACAAAAAGCGAAATCCTGCGCTGGCAGGCGAACACAGGTGTCGTTCCCCATCGGTGGACAGGCCACTGTACAGTTGGAGGTCCAGGTTACTTGGCTTTTGGGGAATATAGGCTTATAGGGCTTCTAGGAGTTTGCGGCTTTAGTGATATGTGTAAAGGAGTTCTGGGTGTTCGGTAGGGATGTAGGCTTTAGGGTTTAAGGCTTCAGGGTTTAGGGTTTTGTTAGTTTTTCGGTGGTATTGTGAACGCGCGTCCCCCGACCTTGGGGATTCACCTTATGTGAGTTTCTCCTTTATAGGGTTTAGGGTTTAGGAAACACTAAACCCTGTCATACCGTAGCCTGCCCAACAAGGGCTCCGACGCTTCATGCAACAGAAAAGGCCCTCAAAAACAAACCCTAGATGACGCCGGTAGCCCGAACCCAAACAGCTGGTAGGCTGGGTGAAATTAGTTTTGAAGTCCTTAACCCTAACCCTAAACCCGAAGCCCAAAACCCTAAACCTTAACCCATAAGCCCTAAACCCTAAACCCTTAACCCTAACCTTAGACTCAACATCAACAAGCGTATCCCTGAAGCTCATGTAAAAGGCACACGTTCCATCTTGCTCTAAAGCCTTCAACCTTCCGTCAACAGACGCTCGAACAGAGTTTTCAAGCCCCCCACGATCATAGCCTACATAACCTCAAAGAGCGAGAAGCCCCTACAACAGCCGTCTCAAAGAAAATGACACAGACCCTAAGCCTGTAGACCTTAGATTACCCGGCAACAAAAGCCTCAAAGTGTCTCTTCAAGCCATCTCTGTTCCCTGAGCCTTGAGCCCTAAACTCCAGACCCTAAAACCCCGAACCATCGCCGCCCAGGTTTTCTGGCAGCCGGAAGCTGCAGATTTCAAGTTCAAGGGCCCCTCATCCCAGGTTTCAAGGTTTAAATATAGGGGTCTAAATAATTACCAATGCTGTTGTGGGGGTTTCTCGTTATGATTGTCATATATATATATATACATATATATATATATGTATACCCCAAAACCCTATTGTCGTTATTAAGGCCCCTGTGTTATTATCGGCTTCTTTGAAGTTTGTAGAAGTCTTCGGGGCTTTCGGAGTCCTAAAGGCAGCGTCGAAGCTGTTATAGGTTTAGGCGATTCCTCAAGCCCTACCATGTCGAGGGCTACCCCCTATAATTCGTGGGTGGTGGTGGTGTGTGCGTGTGCATGTGTGCGTGTGCGTGTGCGTGTGTGCGTGTGCGTGTGTGTGTGTTGTGTGTTTGTGTGTGTGTGTTTATGTGTTTGTGTGTGTGTGTGCATGCGTGTGCACGCTTCTGTTTCTTGTTTGCTCTGCTTTCGTGCAGGATGATAAACAACTGCGTCGTTGGGGTAAGAGCTGACCGCTTCGGTCGGGGCCGAGTGAGGGTGACATTTTTCATAATGTTGTGGCAGTTGGTTTCATCTCCATGGACTTTAATTAGAAGGTTCAGATCTAGTTTGCGCAGGGGCTTCATGGCCCGGCCGCACACTCAAGAGTTGTAAACACCTGTACGCCCGAAAGCCCGAATGGCAACCCATCCTAGCCTAGCGATCTTGTGTTGAAGCTAGGGGTTGCAGGGTTTCTCCGTTATCCCTGTACTATACCCCAGCAACACCGCACGAACACCTCAAACAACCCTAGTCTAATCTTGAGGCGTCCTATACAAAAGCCGAAACCCTAAACCAAACCAAGAAACATCCGAAAGCTTTAACACAATACGTCAGCGCTTCAGAGGCAAAGGCGGCCGGCCGGGACGTTTCGTGACTTTGCTCCTGGGCGCGGGGTTTGGCGCAGATGTTGAAGGTTGACTTTCTTTCGGATCTTCCTGTGGAACAAATATGTTCATTATTGTTGCTGATCTTGTCTTGTAAGAGACGAGGAGGCTACAATAAACCTACATTTACTTAATGCTCATCACCGTTTCTCATGCTGTCTGGTGAATGGCCAAGGGCAGTATTTGTTGTTATCTCCAGGGGTCCCCTGGCCCAGGCTCCATGATGTGCAAGGGCCCATCACCGACGCTTGGGCATGGATAAAGCGTCTTGGTCGCATTTTGCAGATCGTACCGGGTCGATGTAGGTACCTGACGGCAAGGCTGTATTCTGTAGGCACATATACACCTTATAAAAGCCATGGTGCAGCCTATAGGGTGTTCAGAACCCACTAGGATCTTGAATAACTTGTTGTACGGATTTAATATAGCCTTTATAATAAAGGGACACTTCTTAACCCTACTTCTGGCTCTCTTAACAGGGACCTTGTTGAGAGGGCCCCCCAAATCCTAACTCCCACAATTCAGGGAACCCACTATGATCTTAAATCAGCCTTTGGTGCTCATTTTTTTAAATGGCCCCTAAACCCTGAACCCTAAACCGAAACCCAAACCCCAAACCCTAGACATAAACACTAATCTCCTTTCTACCCTGGAGCCTCGGGGAGTGATGAAGCTCTGCGGTCGCCTTACAGACCCAGAGCCTCGGACTGAACATTGGGCCGCGCTTTTGCTGGGAGGTTTAGGGGGGTTGAGGGGTTTGGGGTTTTAGAGGTTAGGGTCGAGGGGTTTAAGGGGGTTGAGGGTTTAGTGGTTTAGGGTTCTAAGGGTTTAGGGGTTTAGGAGTCTAGGGTTTTAGGCTTTAGGGTGTAGCTTATGGGGGTCCATGGCGGTCGAGGGGAAAATTGAAAACTGCCGCCAACAGAACAAACCTGCTGGGACCCACCCCGTATTCTTCAAGTAGCCGTCTATGGCCCCGGTGATGCTGGGTACTTAGGTTGGGATATACTGGCGGGTAGGATCAGGGGTTCAACTGGACCAAAGACACCAGACCTGTCCACCCACTGGAGGCTGGTGCGACCGCTGTACAGGCGCCGTGTTCTTATGTTAGTACTTGCTTTGTTTTGGGCATGACAAGCTGACCTCTTTCCAGTAGCTGTTAGCAAATGTGCACACGGAGTTGACATCCCATGCCGAAGCAGGGCATTTTTTCAATCTGCAGATGAACAGCACCCTTGTCCCGAAAGCTGTTGCAATGAGCGTCAGGGTCGAAACGGCACCTGCTCTAAATACACGCTAGTGAAACCTCACCTTTCTGTAGGGACATTGGCCATGGCGGTCCGTGTTTAGGTTCCTTTGGGGGATCCTCGAGTGCTGGTTCTTTCGGGGAGCATGCTCGTGGCTGTGTGGTCTTTGTAGATGTTGAGCCAAACCCGGCAAAATCGCAGGTTGTTCCCCTAGTGTGTGGCAGCAACTTTGCGGGTTCTTATATACACAAGGCTAGCAACGGCAATCAAGCTGAGCAATGTCATAGTCTCCAAGGGTCCCATGTGCACCAGATCCGAAGACGAATGTCTCGATGTTTACACGGGTCCATAGACAGGTTCCCTAAGGCTCAACAAAGCAGCCCAGACACCTTGTGTAGTCCGATCTCCGGGACCAAAGTCCGTAAACTCTATGTTCCTAGAGTCAGATCCTTGGGGATTTTTTTCTATGACTGCGAACCTGCCCCTGGATGAGACGCGGCTTCTCCGTGATTTTGCCCAACTTGCCGGGCTGCGGTGGCTCTGCGGCCAACGCGGATACCAACGCAAAGCACCCGGGACTGGAGAATGCCGTGACCTGTGTTTCCACAAGCCGACACGGTCGGAAACCCTGAAGCTACAACAGGCACATAGAGTTTACGGTGGAGGTAGTCATAGTCTTGCATAATCTTGCATACTTCGGGTGGGATATCTCCCATCTTTGAATGAAAGCATAGCCTTTTTTCGGGGGAGGTGGGGAATGTTATTAGTAGCTTGTCTTTGGGGTAGAAATTCTCAAGAAAACTTGTCCAGTGTTCCGAGGCCTACATTTGTACCGCTTTGTTGGAGTTGTCCCCGCAAGGAAACCCCAATTCATGCTCACTCATGGTCTGCTTTCACTTTTCAAACTCGTACCTACTAAGCCCCCGAGCTCCAAACCTCAAACCTAAACCCTAAACCCCCAAACCCCTAAACCCTAAAACCCTCAAGCTTAAACCCTAAACCTTGACCCTTGGCCCAGAACTGTAGGCCTGCTCCAGCTGCAGCCATGCCTTTAACAAGACGGCGGTACACCCACAGCCGGAGTGGTGGGGTTGTGCGGCCGAGGGCCTATTAGGGGTATATTATCGTAGCATCAGAGTAATGTTCCATCGTTGTTGTGGTAATATTGTAGTAACGTGGTTGCGAGGTTCAAACAAAGAGGCGACCCCAAGCTGATGAGGGGTTTGGGTGGGGATCCATCCCCCAAACCCTCAGCCCAACCCACACGGGTAGTTCCCTAAATTAGGGTCCCTCTTTTCAGTCCCCCAAAAATGTACGGCACCCGTATAAAAAAAAGAAACCTAAAATAAAAGGGACCCTAATTTAGAGAACTGCCCACATTCTACCTAAAAGTGGCCCTAACTTAGCGAACTACCCACATGCTACACGGCAAAAAAGCCCAACCCGGTTGGAGAAAGGTACAGCGAATGGGAGCTCCGGCTGCATTTTCCCCTAGTCCAAGGAATACATTGTGCCTGAGGGTTGCTTGTGATGATTATGGTATGATATACCACAAAGATCCATTCTAATTGTTGAAATGAGGGTTTGGGGGGTTAGGGCTGGTGTTTTTGGGGTTTGAGAGTTCTGCATCATGTATGAGAGGTTTGGCTTCGGAGGCCTCGTGGTTCAGGGTTCAGGGCAAAGAGTTTAGGGCCGTTGAGGGTTTAGGGTTTGCCTACCCTAAACCCTAAACCCTAAACCCTGGGTTTAGGGGAAGGATTGCAAGAGTCTGTGGAGGACAGGTGAGGGTTCTCCCTAGAGCCCTTGATTCGGATTCAGCGTGTAGGGTTTACTTGGTGCTTTTACCCGAGCTCGAGCGCAGGAGCTTCCTTGAAGGGTTCTGTAGTGGACTTACAAGTTATAAGGTTCAGGGGTATATACATATATACATACATATATACATATGCAAATATATACATATACATATATGTATATATACACATATATATAGATACAGACATATACATACACACACACATATATATATACATACAGACATATACATATACATATATATATACACATATACATACATACATACATACATACATACATACATACATACATACATACATACATACACACATACATACAAATAAATAAATATATATATATATGACACTCTAAGTATGTAGGGACGATATAGGATATGATATGCCTATATGGACGTACAGTTCGTGGGTCAGGGATATGCATGGAGGTGCAGAGCTGAAACCGAGGCGTCACTACTATTAAAAGGAAACCCAACACCCAAGCTCTATACCTGTAAATGCTCCGGACCTCAAATCCTACAGCTCATGCTTGGATACTGATATATAATTTGCTTCTTGCTCATTGGCTACGATGGCTCCCACAGACCTAGAGTGAGTAGGGCCAGCCACCAGAGACTATTCGAGACCTCGCGGTCTGAGCAGGTCTTCGTCCTCGAACCAGCTCAGCGTGCAGGGTTTCGAGCATAAGCTCTTTGTTCTGATATGTACATGTTAAGCGGGAACTCTGTCTGTACCACAAAGCCCTAAACTTCAACATGCCCCATGGATGGAAACAACATGGACCCCAGGCAGACGAGGATTGGCGAATCGTGGAGGTCACGTGCCGTCCCTCGGCGGTACGCCCCTGCCCTTTCGTGCTTCAGCCATCGCCCACAAGTTTTGGGGTGATAAAGGAACCTTGACTCCGTTAACAGGTGGCTAGCTAGATAGATGGATAGACAGATAAACAGATAGATAGATAGCCAATACCCTAGTGGAATTATCCAGGCTTCTACGTCAGGGATGGGGTTCATGATTTGACAATGTGAGGAGAGGATAAATGTAGATTTGTAGTTTTATTTCTAAGTTGCTTAAAGATAGAGAGTTGTGCCAGGGACCTTTCGATGGGGACTCCGGAGTCAGCAGCGGTAAGGCAGCAACATTCCCAAAAGATCCTGAGATCCTGCATATTGCAAGGTAGGGCTCCCATAAGAGTAGCCGACTTTGTGTTATGGTTTGTGTACGCATCTCCGTTGTAGATGCTAAGGACCCTTTGGACCGGGGGTTGAAACGCAGAAGGCCCTCGGACACAATGCTGAGAGAAATTAACATTAAGGGAAGCTTGTACAGTAGGAGCCTCCGACCTGGCATTTGCAGGTCCCCCGCCTGATATCAGGGTGTAGGGTATGGTCTGGCAAGCAGAGCATTGGGTTTCAGCGTTTGGCATCAAGGGCTTGTTCTGCTTGTGAGAGTGGCTACTCTACATGAGTGCGATGAGTACACTTCTACAGTTGTGTGTGCATCGTGGTGTTGCTCCGAAAGTTTCCGTTTGTGCCCGTGGTGTTGCGCTTACGTCTTGCAGCGTTTGCAGAGGCCACGGCCTATGATACCTGCGACTTGACATTACCACGGCAGCAATCACGCCCATTGATCGGAGTTTTAGCCGGAAAACGCCCAATTCACATCCCGAAGCCTGAACCAGCACAAGCAACAACAACACCAACAGAGTTCCCATTCTAGTCGCTCTCCAAGCAAAAAAAAAGCAGAACCTCCAAGAGCCCAAGAAAAGAGTGCCACAGTCTCATGCAAAGAAGGGTTTCGCATCGGGCTCGGCTCGTGTCGTCTTAGTCTCTGACAACTCGCGTAGGATCACCGTCATGTGGCATCGCTCGCTCGACGAGCCTCCACGTGTGCAAGGCTTTGTGCCGCTTGTGGCTTCCTCCCCTTACGCCAGCAAGCGTGAGCCGGGGAAGCCTCCTCCTGGCTATCGGCCACTGCAGAAGTGCACCGTTTTTCCGCCAGGTGGCATTTGGCTGGCAATCTTTACTTATTACTTAGATTCTCGGATGCATGGTTAGAGCTCAAGGAGATTATAACGGGGGTTCAACATGGTTCAGCTGAGTGGCTTGCAGGGTGTGTCTCAAACCATAGTAGACACAGAATCTAATCGCGCACACACACACACACAGAGACACGCACGCACACACACACACACAGAGACACGCACATCACGCACACACACACACAGAGACATGCGCGCACACACGCACAGGCATGAATAGGTCGGGCTGTTCGTGCCTGTGACGTCTTAGTTCCTTCGTTGTTTGCCCAGGACTATGTGAACGACATGGTGCAGATCATAACTTTCCTCCTCAATCATCACTACTGGTTTGCTTCCTTCATGGCACTGACCCAAGCGCTGAGTCTTTGTGTGACCATCTACTATCACAAGCAGGATGAAACACAGATTGCACAGAAGAAGCTACGGAGCCGCCACGGCTCTGCTTTCGAAGAGGGCCGCATGTCACTCAGAATTGGCGTGCCAACAAGACAGTGGCAATTTCTCATGCATGTGGAAGAAGTCATTGAGGCTCCGGCTACTGGGCTTGTCGGTGCCTACGGCATGTCATTGGTTCCCATTCTTACCCCCATACAGGCCGCGAGTGGTATGTATGGGCTCATTGCCTCTGCTCTCGCCATGGGACGAGGGCGCATGGGCTATGAAGCCCGCTGTCGAGGTCCGCCTCGCTTCGCCTTGCCTGTCGCAGCACTGAAGTCCTTGTGCCCCACTGCGGCAACGTCTGCCCTGCTTGGGTATCAGCTGGTCTTTGCCGCGGAGTTAGCGATATTTGCGGTTGTCAGCACAGTGCTGCATCCCGTTGTGGGCCTCACCGGTTTTTGCGGTGGATTCCTGATTGATGCCTGTATTGACGTCAGAAGTGGTGCAGATCTGGAAGCCAACGGATTCTTTGGCGGACCAAACGTCAGTGATGTGTGGTCTTTGGTGAACGTCATGGCTGGAAGGCATACCAAGGTATTCTTTCCCACCAGCGCAGGTTGTTACGGAGTCATTCCCAGGCTCTTCGTTGTGGTACGCTTGGCTGTTTGTGCTTCCCTCTGCTCATTGACAGATCTTCCCAACGGGCTGTTGCCTTTAGGCACCTTGGGCCGTCCCATGGGCCACTCAGTCCTCCAAGAAACGTTTCTGGATGCGACGACGGCCTGCCGGGAATCCATCGGCTGCTTGCTGGAAGGGGAAGTATGCTGGCCAGAAGCTGGTGGTCAATCTGTTCCATCTACGATGTTTCATGCGGCTCTCTTTTTTTTGGCCCTGGGCCTGGGCAGCTTACTTATCGTCACAACGCTGGGGCTGGCAGTCTACGTGTATTCTGTTTGTCCCGATATGTCTGAAGAGATGTTGCAAGACATTGCCCGACGGACCTCCGTTTTCGTTCGAGGCCAGTCTGACTCCGACGACAAGGAGGTTGAGCTGCTGTCCAGACTCTGGGTTTACTGCATGAATCCGTGTTCAGTTTATAAGTAACCTTAACTACAGCTGTCTAGCCCAAGGGGTTAAGGGGTTATCGAACTTGTTAGCCAGTGCCATTTTAGGTCGCAGAGACGTCCAGGACTCCAGCTGTTCTTGCTGGTAAGTTTCAGCCTGAGTAAGACGCACAAAACCCTGCGAAACCTTTGAGAAACAACCCAGGACTTGGGATTTTTGTGTCCTTGGGAGCTCTGGAAGCGCAGCTACAGGAGATCATCGACTTTGCGAGGGAAAGGGAGAACCCTGGCCGGTTGAGGGTGTATAGCCCTAAAGCTCTAAACCCTACACATACGGGTTCAGGGTGTATAACCCTAAACCCCTAAACCCCTAAACCCTAAACCCCATAAATATACGGGTTTAGGGTTTCGGCTTGTAGGCTTGATGGGATTTGCAGGGTTGAGGGTCTAGCACTTGTAGGGCTCATGGGCTTTAGAGGGCCTGTAGAGTTAATAAGGTTATATAGGTTTAGACTTTGGGCTTGCAGGGCTTGTAGAGCGTTTCGGTTTACGGGTTTGAGGATGTTTTGGGTTCAGGGTTTAGGGGGTTCGTTTTGGTATTTGTTGCGCCGAAAAGAGGGGTGGAAGTGGGACAACCCCGAACCCCAAACCTTTGACATACACATTTGTTCGGTTTTGTTTTGAGGGGCCGGTACCCGAACCCCGGACTCCTGAATCCCGAAATCGGCCAGGAAAGTCATCGCGAGAAGTTTGCCAGGCCCAGAAGAGACGGAGACGAGTTCTGAAGAGAGCTCCGGCTCCGAGTAGGGACGGAGAGATGCCTTCAAGCCCAAGGGATTAGCGTCTGGTGAAGTGTAGTGTGCTAGTGGGATTTGTGGGGTTAGGGCTTTAGGGGTTTAAGGCTCTTTTGTAGAGTAGAGGGGTTCTACAAGACTCTATGAGGGTTCGAAAAAGGGACTGTGGGCTTCTTTTCATTGGGTTTTAAAGTGCCTCTTTTTTCAGGGTGCTTACAAAGATGCTGAAAGGGCTTATGAGGCTTGTCAAGAGGATTTGCAGGGTTCTTACCGTAGTAGGCTGTAAGGGTTCTAGCAGCTTTCTGCGAGGGCTCAATATAAGGGTTCTGTACGAAATGTCATATCCATCATCTATATCTATATCTATATCTATATCTATATCTATATCTATATCTATATATCTATATATATATGGGGTCATAGCTTCGTAGTAGGTAGGGTTCATGAGGGTCAGGGAGCAGGATTGGTATTTCGGGCTTGGAGTTACATCTCGATTTTAACGTTTTACAGCTTTGCGTCAATGCTTCAACCGTGCCACTCTGTGGCACGCCGTGGCATTCAGCCACTTGGTCTCGTGCAAGCAAAATCCTGCGCAGGCAAAATGCTGCTGGATGGACGACCTAAACCTAGACCCGAAGCTTCGCAAACATCCCTAAAGCCAAAGTGTGGAGAGTATTACATGGGTGTGAGTCATTTGAAGTAGTATCCCCTTATGGTTCCTTTAAACCCAATTTTATTATACCTCTGGTACACTTAACCTCCTGTAAGAGCAGATTCTCTTTGTACTCAAAGGCTCAAAGGGGCCCCAAGAGTGGGATGAGGGTAGGTGGGGTAATCCCAAATAAGAGTCCTGATATAAGGGATCCTGAATCCTACCTTTTTGAGGCCTCTGACTTACAGCATAGGTAGGCGATGTCCTTCTAGTATGGCTTCGTGAAGTAGAGTGACCCAGACCCTAATTCCCCTGCCACTTGGATCCTGTCTTTTCTGATCTCCGGATTGGGTATCGCCGAAACATGGACCCTTGCATCAGCAATCAGACGATTCCTCCCCCTAAACCCTAAGCCCGTAAACCCTAAACCCCTAACCCTTATCCGGCCAGAGAGCCTGAAGTGACTAGCACCCGAAAAGACAGCGACAGTAGAGTTTAAAGCAACCCCCCATGCGCTGGCAACCCCCTGATACCCGTCCCATACCTTCAATTGCCCCTTCTGCTAAGTGTCGTTGCGCAGGATATTTACCCAACCTATCACCAAGAATTCCTACTGGAAGACCCAAGCCGTACAGAATAGAATGTTCCGACGCCTTAACTGTGCCGTCGTGTAGCCGGCATGGCACAACTGTAGGTGATTGGAGCCACAATAAAGTTTAAATGTAACTTCTGCCAAACTCCGTTCTGACTGTGTAGACCCCTGCGCCAAGACTAGAACCACCCCTTTCCCCACCACAAGAGATCAAGAACATATATGTATGTGTATGTATCTATCTATCTATCTATCTATCTATTTTTATATATATGCATATATATATATGTATATCTCGTTGTTTATAACTCCCTGCCCAAACTTCTTAAGGCCCTAAGCCAGAACCTTGTCCTGAAGCATTGCCGCTGGAACGTGTGTCGCTGTATCATGGGCTCTTCAGCTCCAACTGCGCTCAGCTTCGGGTTTCGGTTTTGGGGTTTAGGGGTTCAGGGTTTAGGGGTTTGGGGTTTAATCCCAGAGTAGCAATTGTAGATCCTAGGATGCGGGGCTTCCCTCCAACCCAGATGTTGTCAAGATCATCAGAGCCTCTACGGGAATTAGGATTTAGTGATTAAAGTTTCAGGACTGACTTGGTTTCACACTAGGATGTTGCTCAGGCAGCCTGTACGTGAATCGAACGCACATCGTGGCCGCTTGGCTTGTCCACAAAATCTAGGGTTAAATTGTCCACGCTCTGCACGGTACCAGGCGGTACAGCAGAACTAAGCCCTTTAGGGGGTTTGGCATGGAGCCCGAAGCCATTCTCGTAGGTGTTACAAGCACCATGCGCACCCCTATCCTGAAGTGAAATGTCCAACGGACCCTGTCATTGCGCATCAGGTTCAGGATAGAGGTTTGTGTTTTTTTTTGAGGGGCATGTGAGTATGCAGGATGAGGTAGCCCGAAAATAGACAGCCCAGCCCTGAGAGCTCTCAACCCTCAGCGCTTAAAATTCCCGAAGGTGCCTTGAGACCTGCAGAGTATTAAGTGTAGCAGCTAAGGGTTCAACCCTAAACCCTCCATGATCCTATTAAGTGTAGAAGCCAAGCCGCAAACCCTAAGCCCTCCATGATCCCAATGCTCAATGGGTTTGGGGTTTCGGGACTTACCCTAAGGGTCCATGTACCCAAATAGTATATACTTGAGTCCCAAGGTACCTATACAGGGACTACTTTAAGGCCAAAGTATATAGTACCTGGGCACATGGACCCTTAGGGTTAGGGTTTGAAAGGAAGCCCGAGCACCCATCATCCAACTTTCCATGTTCCAACTTTCTGGAGGTCACTCTGAAAACCCGAAGTCCTAAATCCCATATCGAAAAGAAGTTGAATCCTAAGCCCTAAATCCTAAACGCTAAATCCTAAATCCTATATCCCATAACCTAAATCCTATAAACCCTAAATCCTTCGCCCTAAATCCTGCACCAGCCCTGAAAAACCTGCAGCCAAAAGCAAGCCCACTTGGTTTAATTTAGGGCTGTCGGACTGACGGCCGGATATGAGGGATGTAGGGTTTACCTTATTTAATGTAAATATGATTTCTTTATATATGAGTCCTTAAAAGAAGGGTAGGGTTTTTAGGGGTCCAGCTAATTATAGGGCTTGGGGGTTTAGGATTTTTTTGGGCTTTAGGCTTTGGATGTGGGTTTTGGGTTTCAGGGTTTAGGGCTTTAGGGTTCAGGGCTAAGGTGTGCCCCAAAGCTCCAAAACTCGAAAAAGCCTTTCACCCGTCAAACCTTGGCATTGCCACATCTTACCGCTGTAAGTCTACTATAGTAAAACCATATTCTAAGAATTAAACCCTGTAAACCCTAAACCCCTAAACCCTGAACCCTTTCACAGAAATGAAGCCCCCTAATTAGGCCATGGGGCGGTCTGCCCGAATGCTCATGAAGTTCGCGCGCTTCACGAAGATCGACGACGGCTCGTCGTTTTTAGCTCGGGTGCTCAGGGGGCGTGCGAGGTTAGGGTTGAGGCTTCAGGGTTTGCAGTTTAGGGTTCAAGGCTTGGGTTTAGGGTTTAGGGTTCAAGGTTTAGGATTAGGGTTTAGGGTTTAGGGTTGAGTCTGTGGGCCAGCATTCGTAGTGGGCATAGGCTATACTATAGGTGTTCGGGGCAGCCAATCTCGGGGTTGCTACATGATCGAGGGTTCGGCACGCAGAGAAGAACTGTAAGCCTTACCTGTAGCCCCAGACCTTGCAGAATACTACGTCTTGACTCGTGACCGCTTCTTCACACGTCAAGTATAAGTCATAACCTAGTAGGCACATGCGTTCATGAATGAGAAACATCATGAAACATGTGTCAACACGTAGAATGTGGGGCTCCCCTTTGGAAAATATATGAAGCCTCAAGAGATTGCCAAACATAGTCTACCCATGGGCCCCTAAGTAGTTCCTTTTTATGCTTTATATTTTGACTCCCATAAGGCAATCCCCCAAAAGGAACTACTTAGGGGCCTATGGGTAGGACCAG